GAGGTCATCCAGCCACAGCTCTAGGAAGCCCTGGCATCCTCTGGAGGAACTCCAGTTGAGAATGGCTCACTTAAAGTAAATACCCTAATACAATCACAGAGGCTACCATCTTTGTAAATTCTAGTTACCTGGCTGTCATGCTGGCCCTCTTCCATCAGTGTTTGTCCCTGATTTAGAATGGGGGCAGATAAGTATTTTCAGAGTGTCAGTCCTCATATATTTCTCATGACAGGTTTCTTTTAAAAATGATGTAGCTTATCTTCAAGCAGCGTGACACACATGGCAAATGATATAGCACTTGCAATAAGCATTCTGCAGCTGCTATTTTACATATGCCCATTTTTTTATTTCATTCATGAATGATGTGTGTCTGTGAGGCAGCCACCATATTAGTGGAAATACTAGATATTACCAGTTCTTCCTGTTCCTTGACCCCACTGGTCAATAACACTTTCAATGTAATCCAGTCTGCAAAGACATGAGTGGCTGGGATATATCTCCGATGATGTCAAAGTCCTGACAGGTTAGAAGAACATAGGGTGTCTAGGCACTGTCACATGTGAACAGGCGTACTGTTTGCTTCTAATTAGGAAAAGTAGCCCCCATTTACCTCTGTATCTATAGGCATTGTGAAGAAATTACTCTTCAAAATTCACAATAGGGGCAATGAGATCTTAGCTCATTTTCTATTACTTTCTATTGCTCCCCCTTCAAATCAGGAGTCCCCCTTCATATCAGAGTTCCCCTTTACATTAGGAGCCTGTGCCTCCCTGGTGGAGAAAGGATGTTCTATCCCAACCAAACCGACTTAAAAGCCCAACTTTAGATTTTTTGTTGCGATCTGTCAACTACTAGTTAGGAATATGTAATCCATATTCTGTAACTTACTGTTTATCTAGTAATCTTCGCTGTGTGGCTCTGCCCAGTGCCACATGGCCTCTCACCCGAAAACATCCACCTTGTTGCATGCGCACTAAAAAATCGATCCAGCAAGGATGGTGTCAGGAGAAAGGCTGTGCGCACAGTGAAGATCACTGGAACGAGGAGAGAGGTAAGTATTTAACAAGACACACTGCACTCAAGGTGGTGGGGGGGATTCACTAAAAGTAACATTGTCCATTAATGACTTGAGTTCTGTTTTTAGACAAACTTGTAAAATTTTATATTTTCTCTCCTATCTGTTCTGTAGAATGTACATATACAACGTTGCAGGTTAGATTTCAGGTTTTGTCATGTTGCACGGTTATGTAAGTCATACCTCTAGCTTGGATGTGTAATTGAGAAATTTACTATAAGACAGATACACTGATCAGGTCTCCCTTTTACCGCCTTTTACCGCCAAAACAGCCCTAAACCGTTGAGGCATGGACTCTACTAGACCTCTGAAGGTATGCTGTGGTATCTGGCACTAAGCCGTCAGTAGCAGATCCTTTAAGTCAGTGGTTCTCAACCTGTGGGTCGCTGTGTGATTTCTGCTGTACTAGGTGAGAGTCCTCCTCAGCCCTCTCCTAGCGCAGCAGTGTCAGTTCTCCCGCCACGCCGCCAGATGTCGCTGCAGCAGCCGCATCATCCCTAAATTTTACCATTGGGGGTCACCACAACTTGGCAAATGTTACCAAGGGGTCGCGGCCCCAGAAAGGTTGAGAACCACTGCTTTAAGTCCTGTAAGTTGCATGGTGGGGCCTCCATGGATCAGACTGTTTTTCCAGCACCTCTCACAGATCCTCAATTGGGTTGAGATCTAGAGAATTGGCTGCAATAGACAGGGACTGCTCACAACCACAAAGCGGAAGTTGAAGGGGTGTGACTGTGGACCAATTGTATAAGTATATGTAAGATATTTTTAGCTCTGCGGTGGTATGTCTGTGCTGGATAAGGTGAGCGTGTAGTGACACTTTAAGCACTGTAGCCCTATAGGAATGGTGTTTCCCTGTATGCCTATTGACCACACATTTCTTTCCATTCAGAAATACTGGTATTTGCACATTTTCCATTATATTGACCCAGGCTAAGCCCAATTAAAACAAAGAAACAAATTCTGTATACAAGAAGCGATCCTAGCAGAGAATGACCAGAGAAGTGGGCATTACCAGGCAGGCTGCATTTCAATGCAGACCACCCCAGGAAATGCCCACATGTTATGCTCAGCCTCCATAACTGAACAAACTACAATCCATTTTCAGGTTCTGATGAAAGGGGTTCGACCTCTGAAACGCGTCAACTGGAGGAAGATCAGTGTCCAGATGGCTTCGGCTTAAGCATTTACTCTTCCGATTTTCCACTTCATTTTTTCGTTTATACATCTTGATCTACTTGAGATGGTCACATTCAATGCTTGTTTTTACCAGTTGTTTGTAAGTACATTTCCAGCTGTATTTTACCTTTATTAAATCTGTTTTACACTATGGAGGCGCTCCTTTTGTTTTATTCCTAAACTACAATCCAGTGAATGAAAGGGGCAGGCAGAGGACAGGAAGGCTGGAAAGGGCTAGATCAAGGGTAGGCAATTTAAGCACGTCGGCTGTGGTGAAACTACAAATCCCGTGGGGCTTTGCAAGACCCTGGCAGCCACAGACATGGCTTACAGATGCATGATGGGATTTGCAGTTTTACCACAGATGGAGTGCCAAGGCTGCCTACTCCTGGGCTACATGATGCTGTATGTCCTCCAGCTAAGAAATGAGGTAGGCTGTATAGTGTATATGACTTGCTTCAGCTTCTAATGCACATTGAGGGAAGCTCAGAGTGTGCAGTGAAATCAGAGCAAACAGTTTCAGTACAAGAGAGGAGCTGGCACCGCTGTGCAAGAAGGCACAATTGGAGTTCAGCTTCAATGTAAATTCAAAAGTTGTTTTCAGTCTTTTAAAATAATCTGCTGCTTTTATTAAAATAAATAACCGTAATCCTGCCAAGAAGGTCTTTGCTGAAGTACTTCCTAATACGGGGTGACAACTGCCTCCCAATTGTGCTCCTGTGTTGTCACCCTGTCACACACCCCTGACAGAGTCTACAAGGGGCCATGCTGACAATGACAAACTGTGCAAGCAGTCTTTCCAGTCAGAGCAAATACATTTTGGAACTCTCTTCCACAAGCAGTGGTGTCAGCAGAGAGTATTGAATCATTCAAAAATCAATTAGATACCTTCCTCAGAGACCGTAACATACAGGGGTACAGGGACACTTAAAAACTAGATTACACACGGACTCGTAATATACACACATGGACGCACAATCACACACAGACACACAAAGGTTGAACTTGATGGACCTGTGTCTTTATTCAACCTCAAATACTATGTAACAGTCCACTGTTGTCTCTCTCCTATGCAGAGCAATGTGCTGCCAGTGCTGGAGTGAGTGCTTGTAGACAAGAAGTGACTGAAGGGGATGGAGGAGAGCAGCAATGCTGAGATGCAAAAAAAAAAAAAAGACAGGGCTGAAGGCAAGAATTGTATGAAAAAAAAAAGCATGGCAGTTGTTTATGATTTATAATGCTGAAGCAAAACAAATGTCATTCGGTTAGGGTTTACATCTACTTCTCCAGCTTTCCGACCATGTTTTATGGTATACCTTTCATTCAGGGTCACCTCCAACCTGCCCCCATTTACACAAAACCTGGGGTTCTTCTCCCTGCAGCATCTTTTGAAATCTGCACTGCTCAGCCCGCACAGCCGCTTCATCCATTCACAGATCCTTTCACAGGAGCTGCAAGTGAAGTGACTACAATCCCTGTCTGCCTCCATGTCAAAGGGAAGCATAGTTCTCAATGGAGAACAAGTGCAGTGACGTCATCTCACTCAAACTACATTGACACTTCCACAAGGATAGGGGCTGGAAGAACAGTCTGCAGGTGCCAGAGCATTGCACCAGGGATCCACTGACCACAATTGCAATGCTTTGCAGGCTCCAATGCAAAAAAATGAAAAAGGCACATTTGTTCTTTTATTATTGTGTGTGAATGTATTATTTTTTGCAGAAGGCAGAATAAGCCTTTAAATCTCTGACTCCATACAGAATGCTATGAACAGATCAGAGCTCCTGACACTGCAGGTAAACGTTCTTATTGTAATCAGTACTGGATTAAAAGAGAGCCCAGGGTGACATTTGCTTCATTTTTCTATACAACCAAAAGCTTCACTTTTACTGCAGCTTCTCCTACCCCCCAGGTCACTGACTGACAGATCTGGTCGGAACATGTTGCTTCATTTGTTATGTGAAGTGCTACATTGTCTGGAGATTTATGAAGCTAGAGACAAAGAGCAGCCAATCAAATGTCACCTTTCACCAATGTACAGTCGACACACAGGGGAAGCTGAATTCCTGATTGGCTGATGACTGCAGTGATTCTACAGTATATATAATGGCTGTATATATGTGTTCACCTGCACTAGGCATGACATTGTCAGAATCTTCCTGCTGTCAGGGCATGTTAGAGGTGACCCGCATGATCCAGCAGCCACCCAGGAAATCCCCCCTGAGATTGGAAATATTCCCTGAAATGAAATCAAAATGAACGCTGGAAATAAGAGCTGCAGATGATCATGTGTTCTATGACGGTGTATGCTAATCGGCGATGTGGCCGTCCATCATCTCCCAGTCCCGATCAGTCCTAGGAACTCCCCCGACCCCAAGCCTCGGATCCTCCACCCGCCCCGGCTAGTGGTCTCCCCTCCTTCCCAGGATTCCGCCCGCCCGTTCCACTTCTCTGGGGTTTGTTTCTGTGAAGTTGATTCCTTGTTTGCTGCAGTGTCATTGTTATTCCGCACTCGCTTCCTGATGTCACACACCCCCCTCCCATGACGTCACCGGGACACTGCTTCTCTTTATGATGTAGAAGCTCTCAGATTCTCCTCAGACGTCTACAGAAGGAGCTGGGGGATCGCAGCTAACGCCGATCGCACCGTGCCTAGACCTCTCCGTTTCCAGCCCGACAGCAGCCATCTCCACCAGCCGCAGGATTCCCACAAGAGTCATCGCCGTCCTTACCCCTCTGAGATCTTCGTGCTGCAATACTTGGCTTGTGGTGCTGTCAACATGTCTGAAATTCTCCCCTACAGCGAGGATAAGATGGGGCACTATGGCTCAGACACCGAGGGGCAGATCTCATTCAGCTGCCGTCTGCAGGACACCAGCGCTTTCTATGGGGGCAACCAGCAGAAAAGACCCCCAAAACTGGGACAGATCGGAAGAGCAAAGAGAGGTAAGAGGATGAGGTGTTTAGGGCTCTATCAGTCCCTTACATCTCCTCCTATCCATGTAGACCTGTATCAACATTCATTCCAGCCTTTCCCCATTTCTTTTATCTGCTAACTCAATCTACATTTGCTCATCTCTGAATTCCCTGGCGTGTTCGTTGTCCATCTCAAGCTTCTCTCCTCACCTCAGTATTCCATACTGCATGTATGCTCCCCTTAATCCCCTATCATCCATCTGTGTTCCCCAAAACCTGGCATTCTCCATGGGTTCTTCTAGACTTCCATCCTTCATGTATGTTGCACTCAGTATTCTATCTTCCATCTATGATTTCATACCAGTCATCCTTCATCGGTCTCCCATCCTCTATATATGTATGCGCTCAATCCCTTCTCTTCCATCTATAATCCCCACAATCTACAGTTTCCATTAGACCCTGCAGTCTACCTTCCTCCAGAATATGTTCTCATTAAACGCTCCTTCTCCATGTATGATGTTCACAATCAACTATCCTCAATCATTCCCCCAGTCCCCATCCCCTATATGGGCTTCCCTCAATATTCTTCCATCAATGATACCCATAATCTACCATGTTCCATCAGTCCCTTCAGCCTCTGATTGTCTATATAGGCTTCCTCCAATATTCTTCCACCTGTGATCCCTATCTTCTATATAGGCTCCCCTCAAAATTTCCCTCTTCCTACCATGAGCCCAGAACCTTCCCTCTTCTATATTTGCCCACCACAGTATTCTCTGTTCCATCTATGATCCCATAACCATCCATCCTCCATCAATCCCTTCAGCCTTCCACCCTGTTTAGATGCTCCCATCAATATTATCTGTTCCATCTATGATCACCCAACCTTCTAGATATGCTCTCCTCGATATTCTCTGTTTTATCTGTGCTCCTACATATTCTCTGTTCCATTTATGATCCCATAAACTACCATCCTCCATCAGTGCCTCCTGCCTCCGATCATCTAAATATGCTTCATTTCAATCTCCTTTCATGAGCCCCACAATTTACCATCCTCCATCAGTCCCTGTAGTTTCCCATCTGTCATCTATGCTCTCCCCAATCTTCTATACTTCATCTCTGGTCCCCTCAATCCTCATCTTCATTCATACTGTTTTGGTTGGCCATTTCTTCAGTTCTTCCATCACCCTTCTTTTCTACCATCCTTCTTCCATGCTTCCTTCTAACCTCCCATCCTCCATTTATGCCTGCACGTCAATCCCCATGTTTGCTCCTTTCAATCCCAAATTTTCATAAACAATGCATGTGATCTCCCTCCACTTCTCACCCTCCACCCCCGAACCATGTGTTCTTTCATGTCTTTTTTGGTGTACCTGCTTTGTCATCTTTCCAACCCTCCCCCCCCCCCCCCCCCCCCACAGGACGTCCATGATATATAAAAAAGGGTGGGGTT